TATGGAATTTTTAAATAAAATTTATAAGAATGATCTTTCAATCAAAAGTTATTTTCTCATCGTTCAAGTAGGCCACTTGAAATGCAATTCAACTATACCAACGTTGAACACAACCCTACATGCATACTTCATATACGGACTTTACTATATCCTACAACTCCTTAATAAGCCGTAAAGGACTTAAAACGGTTTCTTTTAAGCAGTAATTAGACAGTGCTACACTTAATTCTCTTTTTAAATTTTCCCATGATTTTACGCTTAAACTCCATGCGGAGTTTAAATCAACAATCAATTTTTCTAGTAGCAGTCTAGGTCTCTGGCAATAATCAGTTTATTGAGGTTTTATATACTACAAATATTCTTGTATATTATTTTTGATTTCGATTTATAATAAAATTCTACACAATTCTAAAAAATTTCAGGGCGATATTGTCATTAGAAGTACTTTTAAAAAATTAATTTATCCTTCACATCACACCAAATATATACACACGATTTTTCAGTAACAAAAAAAAAAACAAAGAATATGTCACACAAATTTTTCTTTTTCATATTTTATTCAGATTAATCAATAAATTCTACTTAAAAAATAAATATTTCCAATGTGATATTGCTTTTACAAGTAATTAAGAAAAATTAATTCATCAGGCGTCATTCACGTTACTCATACGCACCGTAATACCATTAAATTAATTTTGTAGGAAAAACGATACAAAAATTTTTACTTTTTATTTCTAAATTAAATGTATATTAAAATCTGCATAAAATATCAACACTTTAAATTAGTTACTCATCATCTCTATTTTTAAATTACTAATTTTAACATTATTAAATCATTGTATGAACCTTTTTCTTATATCAAATTTTTTCCCGAGATGCGGGTCTTCTTATTTTACGAAAGGGGCTTATAAAAAAAATTTTAGCTAAATAAGAGATCATAAAAGAATGACTCATATGCAGAAAAAAATTAAAAACAATGTAGAAAAAGAATTTAGGAGATTTTAAGAGATGAGGAAAACAAATGTTACCTTTCCAAAAGGTTTACTTAAAATGTAAGTGGTATTATGTTTACTCTAAATATGACTAGATCTGGACAATATTATGATAGCGCATCAAGTAAGTCACTAAAATGAGAGATATTTCTGGAAATGCTCGTATTTTTAAACATTTAAAATAAAAATAGACTTAACTGTAAGACATTTATGGTCATGTATACAGGAATACCGGCATTATAGACAAATAGAAGCACAGAATAATGCAAATTTGTATCTTTAATTATTGAATTTTCTTTCTATTTTTTTATTATATTAATATATTATATTATTTATATTTTATTAAAATATTTTTAATCTACTAATTGCCTGATCATTAAGTCTGTTTCGCAATTAAAAACCAATATTTTATTTCAAATGTATCATGTAAAGTGCCATTTTTCGATATAAAAAAGCGTAAAATATAAATTTATGTGTTTATATATGAAACTTATAACAACATCCTGTGCTTGAAACTCCAATTACTATTGAATATTCTAAAATTTTGATATATTATTTTAAAAATTGAAAATCTTATTTATTTCGCACAAATCGAAACATTTGGACAACTCAATATTTATATTGTTAACCACGTTGATTGTTACAATATAAATTTTATTAAAAAATTCATTGGAGTAACTGGGCTAAAGCTATCAGATACAATATTTATCTGGTGAGTGCGGAAACACCAGACAAAAGTGTAAAACAATCAAATCAAATGTAACCGAAATGCTGAGTACAGCTGACTAAACTCATGCATGTTTCGCAGCGGAGTTGTTAGTCGAGTTGTGTCCATATTACCGGAATTGTAGGAGCGCGTTTTAGCATCCAAAACATCCGAAGCGTGCATTGGTTTCCGTTTTGCAATTCCATAAGATTGAATCTTTTGTATTGTGGTGACTAATAAAAATGTTTCATAAACATACACACATACGAGTACAACAACACTAACTACAATAACAACAGTAACAACATTAACAACAGTAACAACAGTAACAACAATAAAATCAAGCAACTGTAACTGCTTGTGTACACAAGTTTGTGGAGGGGTTTGACTGTAAATTGACTTAATTCATTTTCACATATTTTTCAATATTGATTCCCATTATGCAGCGTAACGAAAAACCCGCAAAACGATACAAGCACCAACATAAACGGGACGCTGGTTACGAGTTGCGGATTGGGGATTGCGGATTGAGGGCGCACTTGTATTTGTATAAGTTCAAATCCGTCCAAACGCTCAACCACAATAAAAGCAATTAAATCTCCATTTCGATATGGATTTCGGAAAAGGTATGGTTGGAGTAATTGATTTTAAAATATCGTATATTGTATGTACGTGCATAAATACGAGAGTATATAAATATATATATATATACCTATATATATATATATATATACGAGTTTTCTTTTTTCAATACAAGCTTTTTTATTCCACTAAGCAAAAAAGCCACCTAGTGCAAAAACCATGCCAAAAAGGGTCAAAATAACACCAAAATAGAACCCAACATGTATCCAGAGCGGTACCCTACCGTAACCTTTCAATAAAAGCTTCGATACGCCAAGTGTTAATGGAAAAGTTGTACACATCCATTGCGCTTTTTCACTTTTTTCATTTCATTCTATTTTTTTCTTTTATTTTATATTATTTTGGTTTATTTAATTTTGTTTTATTTGATTTGGTATATTTGGTATAAAATATTTTGATATTATTTTGCCGAAGCACAACACTGAAAGCAACACGAAGCCCTTTTAGTTTGGTCTCTGGAGTGTATTTTATGTGAATTTTGTTGTTTGGGTCGTTGTTCCCATTAAATATTTGTGCGTACGATCTTAATTTATCATGAAAACATATTGAAAATAGATTAGGTTTTATTATTGGCAAATGATGAGGATTCTGTGTTGAAGGAATGTTTCTATTTGAGCCACAGTATCAGCTATGTTTGCTAGCGCTTCAGTTACAAGGATAACCTTCGTTCCAGCTTCAGTTCCGGGTGCCGCTCTGCTTTTATGGTTTTTTACCGAAGCGTCATTAATCATTGCGGACAATAGAAGTGGAAAAGATAATTTCACAAATGGCACAAATGCCGGACTACATAGCCGCGATATTTTTTAAATATTTTTTTAATGATTTACTTTTTCTTTTTCAAATTTATTTTTTAATTGATGATATTTTAGTGTGATTTGGTAATATTCATGAAAAAACCAAACCCAATATTCAAATTAGATATTCTTTTATTTTCTAGAAACAAGAAATTCTGATTGACTTGGAAGTGGGAATAAGAATGCAAAATAGAGAACTCAAAAACAATAGAAATTATCTTAATGAATACCAATTTAAATTCATCGGAGGAAAATTGTACCTTAAATTAATTTTTAAACGCCAAATTTAAAGCTAAATAAATTAAAACTCTAATTCAACTTTTTAACTGATTTTTTCTGATATTTCGTAATTATCAAAAATCGGTACCTTATAAAAGCTTACTCTCTGCGTTTATATATGTTATATCACGACTGGAAAAAATGCATTCGGTCAACAAATTTACTTACACACTATTTGCAAGAGCAAAAGAATACCCAATTCTGTAAAATTGGATACCTATTTTTTTTATTAGTATGTATATAAATTATTTGATTAAGAAGAAAAAAAGATTTTGGGTGACGGAACTACTGTTCTCAAATTTTAATTTAAATGTACGAAATTATCTCACAAAATTATTAAATTGTTTCAAGCCGTACATTATATATAGCCATTTAATAGAGAGAAAATCATTTATTATTCACGTCACTGCACATGACATCGGACTGCACCTGACAGCTATGCTTGATTTTGGCAATGTTTTGAGTAGATCAATAATGTTTAATGATCTATTTAGAAGTACTGTATGCCGGCTACTTAGTTACATTCAAGGACTCATTAATGTTTTATTAAAAAAGTTCGGTATTAAAAAATACTTGAATAACTGGTAGACTGTAGATTATAATAGGGATTTGAGATTACAGCTAAGCATAACACTACGACTTGATTTGAGTACGGCGCACCTTTGGATTTAAAATGGATGCTAATATTTAAGGGCAATATAAACTATTATATTACTTTGACTTTTTTTTTTAAGGTTACACTGGGTTATGAGACAAAAGCATTCCAATATAATTTGGCTGATTTATAATCAAATAAAGTAAAACCTACTGGGATATTTGGAAAAAGCATAAAATAATGAAGCTGTGTATTAATTTTCACGTCACTACAAAATTAAATGCATTCGGAATAAAAGTATCAGACACTTTTCTTAAAAAGTGAAATTCCAAGATTTCTTTTTTCACAATAACTTAAATAAATAAATATTTCCTTTAATTTAGAACAACAAAATGCATTTTTATTTAATTATCAACTCTTGTTAAAATTTTTCATCCTTAAGTACTGGATGCAATTTTTTAAAAGAACCTTGCATTTTTGATGGTAAATATTTGAACTATGTTTTCTGTTATCAGGTCTTTATTGCATTCCTGTTTTCCTGCATTTTTCAAGTCATCTAGCATTAAAGGTCATAACGGATCATCCAATCCGTTATTTGAAAGATTTCGTTATAACTTATATTCCTATGCTGAACATTTGCAGATTCTAAGATGAATAAAATATTTTTAAGTGAAAACAAGTCAGAGAACAAAAAAGCTATTTTTATGAAATACGATTAGCTATATTAAATAAAAATTATATTACATATATATATACAATTGTATATATATTTATATATAAATATTCATATATATAAAGGTCATACAAAGAATTGACAGATTATAAGCTAAAATATATATTTAAATGTAAATGTTTTTATATTATTATATTTATTTGAAGTTTGCATCTCAAGTATTAGGCAAGCATCAAAGAATTTATGCTTCAGTAAAGTATAGTCTATGTTCTGCACTGCTATTGCTCTTCTTCCTCATCAAGATCGGCTGATGATTAATTTTACCATTACGCAAAAATATGCACTACAACAGAATTACCCTAGCGACTATTAATTGTTCCATAAGTGCGCGCTTGTCCTTGATGTTTTAAAAGGTCTTAGATATTACACTCATCACAGATAGTATTACAGATAGTAATCAACTTCAGAGAATGTTGGTCAAATACTGATCAGCAAAATGCTATTAAGAGAATCCCAGAAATAAACCACATATTTTCTGTGAAAAATCTTTAATTTCCGTTCATCGTTGCTTTCGGTCCTTTCTGACCGAATGGACAGAATAAATTTGATCAAATGAGATCAAACTCTTGTGTACACCACAGAATGTCTATGATTAGTAAAATCCAGATCTTTACTTATGAACTAAGTCTAAAGTGACTCAAAATAATAAATAGGTTATATATTATAATATATTATAAAATATTCATAAATAGTTAGGTATTTACAAACTTACACGAGCAAACTCTTCTTCGTCAGTGAACATTTTCTTAATTACTTGAATTTTTCTAGTCGTATTCTGAACAAAATTTAAATCTAATTTGCATAATATTTTTAAATGAATCCAACTAACCTCTATATTCATGGGATTCTGATTGATAACTGGATTGTACAGAGAATTTTTTAAAACATATACCGACTCAATGGTTATACTGCAAACATCATCTTCCATAAGCAAAGTTGGGTTAAGTAAAGAAGCATTGTGACTTAATAGAGCCTAAAAATATATATTTTCTCAAAAAAAAAAATCTGTCACTTACATCCACTGTCACTTACATCATTAAACTGGCCTGTATCATCCATGAAATGCTGTAATTTTGCGGAAATTACACCTGTTGTACTATTAAACCCATCGTTTATGTCGGTAGCCTTCCGGATACTATTTCCCATAACCTTTGAATGTATGAAGTCGAAATTTTGGTGACATGGAATTAAATTTTGGTGCCAAATTCATGTGATTTGATTTTTTTCATATTTGTTCCAAATATAAATTGAAAAATAATATATTTGACACAACAGATTTTGATATTTTTGATTGATGAGAAAAGTAAACAACTCTGTTAATGTTTTTGTCCCGCCAGGATGTACTCTTTATGACAAATATTTTTACTGTGAGCAGATGTTTATTAAGATTCGAAACCTGTCCAACAAGTCAATATGATATTTACCTATTGAAAGGGAACCTTATTAATATTATTTAAATTCTCTGCATTTATTGTATTCAGTAGTTGAAGTAACCGGTATAATAATAAGACATATTTAGCGAATCAAATATAGACACATATTATATTATTGTGTTACTAGATAGATAGCCTTACGTGGCCAAGATCACGCATTAAACTTATAGATCCCTAACGAAACCTTATTATACTTCTCTAACAAGGCAACTTATGTCCTTAAGTGTAAATGTCATTGACAAATTTTAAGATATAGCTTACTTCAATATCAGAGACAAAGTTAACCGTTCAGAACTGGTAGCTTTACAAAATTTCAATCAAGTTTTTCAGATAACCGAGGAGCAGTAGATATATTATGAAAATACAGCTTTACAAATGGCTGAATTTAAACATTTCAAAAATTCCTATTTCTGACTGGCTTTAATAAATAGAAGCATTCAATTAATAAGTATTTTTATTAAATTAATTAAATTTAAAACTACTAGTCAACTTCATCAAATAAACTAATCATATGATAAAACTTCCAGATTATTTATGTATATGTCAAGTCAAAATAATATTATTATCTCTAATATACTATATAACCTTAGTATATATATAGAACGTTTTGTTTTAAAATACTTGAATTTCGAAAAATAGTTTCTAGGTCTTAGATATAACGAAAATCGTACAGACTGTTAATGGATACTTCAGCTGGAAAAACAAGAAATTGTATAAAATACTATATCCTAATATTGTTTTTTTCAAAAACCTAAGATTGAACTCACATTTTTAATCCATTAAATAAACTATTTTAAGATATGTCTTTATATTCAAACGGGTACGGATATAAATATTTCCTTCACATTTCGAAAGAAGTTTGTTTCTGTTTTATTATTTTTTTCCCCGTATTTTATTATCTCATTTCTTTTTGTTAAATATTCTCTGTTTTTTTTATTACAAAAAAGCCCATCTTAACTTAGGATATATTAAGACATATGAAAATGGAGTTGTACCACTGAATTCATTAGTACGGGCTTTATGTTCAGCGTATGTTTAACATAGTATGTCTCTTCTTTATAAACCCTCTTAGGCTATTATCCAGAACACCAGCCAATCTTCTTCTAATGACATTTACATATTTTTTGGGTTTCTGATTTTTAAAAACAATACCTTCAAAGATACAACCTCCTCTCATTTTTATCTTATATCCTTTTTTTGCTATGGATAATAAGATAATATGCTACAATGTTCAATGTTTTTAAGCACGAAATTTTTAAGCGACGTTCCGGAGATCTTATTCCTTTAAGGATGAAGTTTGAACGAATTAATAACTTATTACTTCTGGATATACCTGTCCAAGAATTTTACACGAACTTGATTTTTGATACTCTTATTTTATTTTCTTATTTTCTAAAATTTGTATTTAAAGCAACTAAAGTATCTCAATATCTTCATCCAACGCCATTTTATATTATTCAACGATCTTTAATAATATTGACCTATTTATTCTATTTAATAATTTCGGTATATTTCTATAGTCACAATTTGTTTGCACAATTTTGGCAACTCTAGTAGTATGTACTAAGTATTTAAATAAATTGAAGTTTTAAATTTAATTTTTTATGGTTGGCCACCATTTACAAACTTAGTTAAAACTCTATATATTCAATAAAATTTGGAAAACACAGTGCAAACGGACTCGAGTCCATCGCATACGAAAATCATTTGATATGCGAAATTAAATGTGCTACATAAATATTTGTAATTTTAAAGCTATTAGCTAATATTATTTACCATAATTATTTAAATTAAATGCAATGCATGAATATCCTCCACATTATCAGGCTTTCAATTGCAATTATAAACTGCAGTATTTTGGAAGCACTCAAACGTTTTACTAGACATAATCACATACGATTCCACCAGATGTACGGGAGTAGGATTTCAGATGAATACTGTTAGTGGAAGGATGATGGTACCAGAAGCTTATACGAATATCAGACATTCATTAAAATGTTTTAAATTATTTTATTAATGTTATCATATTTGTCAAAATAATTATATTAAGAGTATAAATATAGTATTGCAAGCGATTAAAAACTCAACTCAACGCTTTAGACACAGAGTAAAGCGATTATCTTCGAACAAGTATGTTAGGCCTGTACTGCAGACACGTAGTCAGAGGGAGATTCGAAAGGCTGAAACAAAATATATCTAAGGACTATATAAATACTAATATTCATTATTAATTTCAACTATTTTTTTGTATATTTTTCCTCATAAGCTTATAGGAACTATAGACTTGTAGACTCTGAGCTTCAAATTTGGCAGGGCACGAGTTCGATTTGTGGCACTTGCAGTCGCAAAAAATTATTTAAGAATAATTAAATACAAGAATTATTTCCAAGATCACTGATGATGGGTATTTGACAGTACTCGAAACAGCGGTATTGTCAGCCAAAAACTCAATTAATTATAATAAAATAAAACAGTTCATCACTTTTCGAGAAAACCTTTTTATTAAATATTAATTACTAAATATAATGCACATAGATTTCTGAGTATTTGATTTGATGTCTTATCACTTGAGTCACACATCAATTTTTTGATATTTATTTTGAGTAACTTCAAATGTTTCAGATAATAATTTATGTGCACTAAAGACAGCTATAACATCAATGTAGGTATATTTGATAATTTCTTATATAGTTGGCATATTACATGTGATAGTTTCATAGAGAACCGAATCCAATACGTTTCCTTACAAAGCAACGGGATCTTTCGCCTTTAATTAGAAACTACGATTACTTAGTGATGATAATTAATTTAATAAAAAATAATTAATTTCCATTAGTAATGCACTTAAACACCTAAAGACAATATGTTGGAGATATACACAGAATTTGTTTCATCAATCGGGTAAAATACAGAATGATTTTCATAACATCCGTAGACGTACATAATTAACAAGCTTGATTACAGTATTCAATTTATTCCTCAAATTTTATGGAGTTTATATAGAACTCCTTAATATGCTAGTTATAAGACGTGGAAGTCTCTATCACCTTAAAGTTTGTAAATAACATATAGAAAATATCTGGACGCATAATGAAAGCAAAATATAAAAGATACGAGTTTGCTGAAACTCTTAAAATGCCTTTTGAATCAGTTACAGGCATAGCAATGGCTGGCACAAAGCAACTGAAGTACAAAATTTTTAAGTTTTAACTTTGTTTTGTACACTGCAATGGCCTCAAGCCTTGATATTTTGCACAAGAAAGGATTTTCATTACGGCATAAAAACCCCAAGCCTCACATAACAGCGACATATAACCAGGCTCGTTATTTGGCATACTTAAGGTTGTGCTGCCATAACTATTCCAAGCTTCATCCTGCCACTATTTAATTTTAAATGTTTGCTTACACTTTAACTATCAGTGATAGTCACAGCCCAAAGTACTTATGATATCAGCGCGTGTGTGAAGTGCCCAAATGCTCGCAGGCAGCAATTTACCATTTAATCCTGCGGGAAGCGGAGCAAAATGCACTTTATGGCAGAAATATTATTACTTCATGACATCAGCCGAATAATGGCGAAATGAATTTTCGTTGTAATTTTTAAGAAGGGTTGTCGTAACCATAAAACTATTTAAACACAATGGTGTAAATACGCGTACTATGCTCCGATACCCTCTATTTATTTGTACGTATCGATACATCATAAAAATTTCGCAAGGGTGATAAGGCGATAGGGCGAAATTCCAGTTTCCAGTTTGCTCGGCCATACCTCACGCCTGTCTGCTGGAGTGAATCAATGACGCTGACGCTTGGTGGTTTGAACGTGTGTACGTTTTGTTTATGGCTTAATGTAGCTGTGATCAAGCAACAAAGAAGCAAATTTTACGACATTCGAAACCGTGTAAACTCTTTTCTCGATATAAAAAGCTACAATGGAGCATAAAGTCCAAATTATCACAATAGTTTATTTATATTGGTTTGGTATTACAATAAAGAGATATGATGTGTTATATTAAAATTACATACTCTTCACTTCTTTGCTATACTTTGTTTTTTTTTTTTGTTCAATATACCGTAGTCTTCGGGTATTTATAGATCAATTATTAGCGTGAAAGATGCTATCCTTTACATTGAAATAATACACTTTAATTGTACTCCAAGTCTTGCATGGGTATTAAAAACTTTTTCTACTTTAGAAAAACGAGTTTGTTCTAACATTACAATACTTAGCTATACTTTTAAATTAGTTAGTTTGACCTGTAGACCTTCTTTAATTGTTCAGTTTTTTTAAAATCATTTTCGTCCCATCCATCCTTAAAAATATTCCTCTATTTTTGCTGTATAAAATGTTTTCATCTCTATTTTTTTGACACTATTACACATTTATTCTTATCACATATGTAAAACAAAATATTATATTAAAATATGAAATGACTGAGATACGAGTATAAATCCCTTTATACCAAAGGTCGAGGTGCTTGCATATTGCTTGATAATATTGGGATAGAGAAAGATCCATTGAAGCATTCACTCATCTGTTTGTGGTTTACTATAATGCAATCTTCCAGCTTTTAAATTAAATGAATATATTCCATATTTACATTAAAATTACTTTTAATATATAATATGTTTTTCCTCTAACAAAAAATACGTATTTAAAATATGCAATAACAATACCAAGTTTATTTATAAGATACTCTAATTTATTCATTGGCAATAGAAATAAATTATTGAAATTATTCATTTTACATTAAAATTATTTGTAATTTGTTCTTACAAACTTTAAGAGTTAATCTGGAGAATATGTTGGATCGGGTAGGAGTTCGTATCCCAATTCGTGGATCGAGATGCTCAAGAAAGGAGACTCTTAAAGTTTTGAGTCGCCGCCGTGCATGAGCTGGGCTAAAAAATTATAGATGAGAGGCACTCTGATCATCTTCCCCACAGCTGCGACAGACTTGATTGAAAGGGAGACCGAATCTTGTAGCATGGTTTCCTAGTTTACAATGACCTGTAAGTAAACCTACCAAAAGACTGATATCTTTACGAGGTATCTTAATCCGAATTATGGATTTCCTTTATCGGTACATGGCCAGATTGCATACAGATGCCTGCATGTCATTGAGTCTTCTCATCTTTAATGAAAAATTTGAGCTGTATGAGGTAAATTCAAAAAAACAAGTTATGGGGATATATGCAGGGTGATGTTTTGAGAAAAGTCAAAATAGTGGTTATTGTTATTTTCAAATTCAACAGAAAATTTTCCTGTATAATATTTGTATACTAGTGTAATGTATAAATGTGACTTCAACATCTTTGAGCCTATGTTAACGTTGTATTGTTGTATTTTGGGTTGTATTTTGGCGATAACGACGGAGAATTGACAAGTAAGCTGATAAAAGCTATTAACTTAACTGTTATAGAAAGATAACGGAAGATGAAGGAACGAGTAACATTAAGATTTGTGCAATGGATTTGTATTATTTCAAAAAAACTAAAGGTAAAAGCGATAGTCTGCTATTTTGATAGTACAATAAACAATATAGTTGTTGTTGTGGTTTGAGTTAGTGCTATTGCTCACTTGTACACTTTTGTGACTGGGGGGCTTATCTCTGTCCCATACTAAGCATTAACTATACTAGAATTATTATCATTTATTTATCTTTTAACTGATGACGCACCGTAGATCAGCACATCTTCCTGTGTGTCCTGAGGTGGACTAAAGGGTTGTTAGGGTGGGGTTGGGCAACGTATCGACAATATAATTTTTTAATTAATTAAAAATAATTAGAAATAAAAGGTTTACTTCACTTGTAATGAAAAGTTTTTTAATGGAGTTATGTCGAAATCATTTAACGGTGAACAAATTGTATTTGAGGTTAATATCTGGGTAATCAAATATTAATAATTAATTTTATGAAATAGAAAAAAGTTTAATATATATAATAATATATAATTTATTTCATTGTTGCTTTTTTTTAATGTTACTAATTTTAAGCTTGGGGCGTGTTTTGCGTTTTAAATCTTTTGATGTTCACAAGTTTTATATATAATTGGGACTTTTACTCATTACTGAGTTCAATTTTTTGTTTCTTAAAATTTTAATTTAAAATAATTCAAATAATAGATTTTAATAGGTTTTTGGCTACTAGTGCATTTCCATTGCATTTAGTTTATGTTATAAGGATTCATCTTCTTTTTCGTTTTAAGATATTTCTTCACACAATTTAAAATATTTTCGTTTTAATTCCTAGTACAACTTCTACAACTACTCCTACTTTCTCTTCTGCTGCATTTTTGTAAATTTTAGTATATTTATATTCGTATTAAGGCTTTTTGATTATTTCTTGAGTGAATACGATTTCTTACTGACATAGTTTTAGTATACACCTTATACACCTTAGCGTCTTCACTGGTTAAACTTTAGGGAGTCGTCATCAGAAGCTAACACAGTTTTAGAAGAAATTAATTTTAAACATATAAATATTATTTATCTTATGCATTTTATATGTCAGCTATGTGTGTAACTTACCCAAATTTTGAACTACACGGGAATTTTCAGCAATTTGAATTTTCCTTTCGAACTTCGTTAATGTTTTCTAAAATACAATACAATATAATAAGTCGTTTAATTATTATCCATTTTAATAAACATAAAAACATATTATTTAAAAATATTTAAACTCACAGTCTGCTTTGTAATCATATATTGCTGCGAAATCCGTTCTTTCCAGCGCACAGTGTCATTTGGAACGTTCAATTCAGAGAATATTTCTCGGAGTCTAGAGGTGGAAGCCATACGTGTATTAGTACTTTGTAACCCACCAAAGAAGACACTTCCTGATTTGTTGACCAAAGAAGTGCCTAACTTCCAAACGCTGGTTAGTGATTTCCATAGATTGGACATTGTAACAACAAATTTTTCTTCTGTAAATAAAAATTTGCGATTTAAACGCCCAATTCTTGATCAAAATCAGTATAATTAGTAGAAAAAAAAGCTACTAAATATACAAAAATAAAAATCTAAATAAATATTAAAAATTTTTCTTTACCAACATGAATTTTTTTATCAATATCATAGCCAACTTGATGTCGAAACTGAACCCTTTTTAAATAAAATTAATTAAAAATTATTGTCAAGATGGTGACCGATTTCTTTCAGATATAGAACAGAATATATGCAATTGATAAATTGCAAACTTCGCCGACAATGGAATCGCTATTCTCACTTTAATCTGTCATAGTACCAAATCAAAACTGGCTAAGCACTCTAAAATTGAACCAAGTTGAGTAAGTAAACACTGCACATTATTATTGATTCAAGTTATAAGGTACATGTTGAGACGAGATATTCTCTAAGGGCCATGTTATGTAGGGCCATGTTATGCAGAGTGTCTGGGGCACGGCATGAGTACAATTGTTGTTGTTTTCAATGCAAATTTTATTATAAGAAAATATAATAATAAATTAACATTTTTACGGCCTTAATGTGATTTTTTCTTGATAGTTTTTTTAAATTGAAAGTGAGCATATCTACACTTTATTTTAAATTTAGACACAACCAAAAATCACCAAAATATTGTAAAAAATACGAAATTGGTGATACTTATGTGACAGTCTACATAACAAGCATTTTCGGTATAGCCCGAAAGAGCCAATTTTGCCGTGCCTATGCCTATGCTCTATATAACATTGCCCTCAGACAAAATGATCGAACTCATAACACAGAAAATTAGTAATCATAATATTTGTGTTGCATATTCTATTGATGATCGCTTAAATTCCATTTGTATTTTTAAGGAGTTAAATATTGAAATTTTCTTAAATTCGTTGACAAATCGGGGCACTCGGGAAATTGAAGTTTCTCCACAGTATTTAATACATTTTGAAAATAAAATCTCACACACGCGATTTTACAAAACCCATTACATTTAAATCAGTAATATTTAATAATAATTAACAAATAATTTTTTTATTTAATGGTTTTATTTATCAGAAAAAATTCTGCTCAATATTCAACAGGAATGGCATTATGTCACACGTACTTAATATTTCTTAAACCCATCTATATTGTCATTTCGAATATAAAAACTACATACGACATCATTAGTAATGCTGACTTGTTTATGTCCTTATTAATTTTTTTAATAAACCAAAATTTTAATTAAAAAAGAATTAATTAAAACTTTCTGTGTATAAATAAATTTACGATGCGATATTGTAAATTAACTTTTTATGTTGTGCTATTATCAATTATACATATTAAACTAATTATTTAATAAGCTTTAGTATTTAAAAAAACTTGTCCATTGAATATAATATTTTATTAGGAACTTTATAATTAAAATGACGCGTATTTTAAAAAAATACATGGATAAAATAAACAAAACTTTTATACCTTTTTTAATGTAATTTTGTACTTGTAAATATTACATGTTTAACGCCAAAGAAAATAAAAATTAAATAAAATTTGCAAAAAAATGCTGTAGTGAAGCACTGTAATTAAGTGCGTTTGTGTGCGGGTAGGCTACAGGCTGCACGCCACTACATTAATGATTTCATGAGTTTCGTGTCCGCGTTGGATTATTGATTGTAAAGTCACTTTTAATGCCACATAAGTTCAATTAGTGCTGCCGAAGTAAGTTCACATTGCGAACGTGTGTTGTTGCTGTTATGCCGAACCATACACAATGTAATTGCACTGTGTAATTGCATTTAAACGTTTTTTTACTAAATATTTAAATATTTTAAAAATAATATTGTAATGTTATGCAAAACTCTACAAGGTTTTTTGGGACGCTCGTTGAAAAAGTGCACACACTTTTTTCATGTTTATATTTTCTTTGCGAATATAAACATGTTTGCGTAATTAAATTTGATCGAAATAATATATTTTTAGACAAAAACCTTCAACCTTATTAAGCAAGCTAATTAATTCCAAATATTTTTAGATTAAATCAAAATATTTTCAAATTATTAAATGGAACAATAACATTTTACTACTATTCAGGCTCAACCTAAATGCAAATTTTTTATCATTTAAACAGAATGGTCTGGTATACAAATAGATCCGAAATTGAAGATCATAACACGGTAAAAGGCATATCACGTTATTCCTTCTAATAATTGCTGTGCCTACCAAAACCTGTGCCTTCTAACATCTGCGGAGAAAATCTAATAAAGTGGTAATCAACAAGCGATGTCTCCGAATTAAAATTCCTTTAAAAAATTTTTCATTCATGCTAGAAATATATTAGGGGCCCTTCTTGAGCTAGGAAAAAACAACCATAGTATTTTGCGATGAATTCCTAGCCATAAAAGACGCAAAGACAATAGGAAACCATCAATTCTTCTAATCCAGCCAAGAGAAAACAGAATGGTTTGGTATACAAATAGATCTGAAATTGAGGATAATGACACTTTAAAAGGCATATCCCGATATTCTTTCTAATAATTGCCACCAACACATGTGTCTACTAACATCTGAGGAGAAACTCTAATAAAGTGGCAGTCAACAAGAAATGTTTCCGGAATTAAGTTCCTTTAAAAAATTATTCATTCATGCTGGACATATATTAAGGGTTCTTCTTGAGCTATGAGTTCCTAGCCATAAATGACGCAAAGACAATAGAAAACCATCAATTCTTCTAATTCAGCCAAGAGAGAAAGTCGATATTCTTTGTGCTCTTTGACTCTTTTTGTATTTCGACAAAGATAAATTCCAGCTCTAAAATTGCTGTGTGAACTGTAAACACAAACAAGAAGCTAAGAGAAGTATCAACTAACTCATGGAAACCTTATAATTCTCACCATGTTTCTAACACGCTACGGAATGTACGAAATAGGTTCTTCAGGGAAGGTAGTCGCGCTTGGAATAATGTAACTAATATACTTTGATATATTGTTGAGCCGCTGCTTAGTTGCTTAATTGCTAAATAGCTATCGTATATATACTATATCGTATATATACTATATATATACAGTTTTAATCCGTTTCAAAAAATTAGCAGCTAAGAATATATTTACTTTTTAGAGTGAATTATGGCCTCACTTGAAAATGTTTATTATGAAAATGAATATAAATCTTTTTCCTTACATTGCCTCTTGAATATGAAAAGCATTTCGATACCTCGCATATTTTATTGGAAAGTTTTAAAATTTTATCGAATGTATTAATTCGACTAAAATATATAAAAACTATAGTGTAACTATAGCAGTAGTATATGTATATGGTATCTATTGTTCTGACATATCATGTTATTAATTTGCAAATCTCTGTGTGTGGTATATCTACAGTTCTGATATATCATGTAGCTCTTGAAGTCTTCAAAGTTTGTAAGCAGTTAATTATTACTGGATTTGGGTGTTCGGCCATAAACCATGCAATGTACAATACTCGAATTTGATGAACTGTTTTTAAATTGCAAATTTTTTCTAATCTTGACCATATTACAGTTAAAATATTAGCAGAGGAATTTGAATATTTGCAGACACTCAAATATTTTTTTACTCATATGTGCTTTCTAGATGATTTTTTAGGATGATGTCGCGTTTTATGTAGCTATTAAAATTTTGTGGACTTGAACGGTATTATCGGGGTTTAAAATATGGCCTTTCAGAACTACTGTTTTTGCTGTAAAGTTTGGTTTAAAATTCTTAAACGTTTAACAAATTGTTGTGCAATTTAAAAAATATACCTAACTAAACTTAAATATATACACGAAAAATAACTTTGGCGGGAGTTATTCAAACCGCAAAATGCTTCAAATTTTTAACTTAATTTACGCAATTTAAAATTTTATATATAAGAGAATTAAATGCGTTTTTCAATGAAAGAAGCATTAACTCTAAAATTGGTTCCATTTGTAAATCAAATAAAGTATTGTGTTCGCACCACGACTTTTTGACTCAGGACGACATGAGAAAGAGGACGAAACTACGAGATGCCCCATACTGTCCATACTGAAGCAAATACAAACCCAGAACTCAGACGTATTGGAATGTGTGTGATAAAATTGTAATTGAAATTGATTTAAAAACAGTTTTAAAGGATCTCACAATATGCAACTGTGAAAAAGGATACTTCTCGCTGAACATGTCTATTGGAGGAGAAAACCTAAATGAACAAAATTGGCAAAAAACAGAGAAAATTGGTGTAAAGAAGCCATCGTATATATACCATTGACCACTAATTAAATACAAAATTTAAGTTACAACAGTCAAACGCAAATGCACTCACCCACCTCACCTCACCTCAGCTCACACCCAGAGTTGCCAGTACGAATTTCCCAACTCCAACAGCAGATAAATTAACAATACTCGCCAGGCTTGAATTGATTAATTGATGCCAAGTTAAATGCTGTATATGCCAGCGGTCAATGGTAATCCGTTGAGTTTGCTACGCTTTCAGCAAATATAAAATAAATTTATTTCATTTAGAAATGTGCCAAATTTGTATTCAATTTGTATTAAATTTATTTTTAGGTGCATATTTAGATCATCTGGATTATAGCTTTAAATGTCTTTGTGAAGTTTTGTATCTGCAAATCAACAAAAAAAGAAATTTATGCTTTATAATTATGCTTACTCATGTGGCATGCGTATCCTTTATGGTCACACAGCCAATCTAATGTGCTGGGGGGCTTTTGTAATTATATTCAAATTGTATATGCTTTAAATTCATTAGGAATTTAAATATTTGTATTATTTAATTTCTTTTAATTTTAAGCCATTAAAAAGGAAAAATTTTATCTACTAACAAACAATGTAACAGAATGTAAAATGTTCAAAAATATTATTATTATTAGAAGAGACAATGGTACGCTGCAACCTATGTGATTTATTATATTTTCTACACAGAGATTCTCTTAAGGTAACCCTAAATATTGAAGGGTATTTCGAAACCTGATAATAGATTTTGGTTTAAGAACCTAAAACTCATTTGGTACAATGAAACCCGAGGTATTGGACACGTTCCTAAAAATTGCAGACCACCAGAGCACAATCTTCCATGTATG